AGGCTCCTGCCAGCCCTTGCTCTGCTGCCAGGAGACTGCTTGGGGGCTGGGTGCGCGAGAACAGAGAAAAGGCAACAATCAAGTGTGGGGCCTCTGCATTCTCTCTGAGTGCTAGGAGACCCCTTTCTCACCCAGAACCAGAGAGTGTCTCCGAGCACTGTCTGTCCATGTTAACACCCCCCATGGGTTGGGGCTACCTTGAATTCTGGCTGTGAAATACCAGAGGGGGGAAATGGTAAACTCAGTCAATTCAGTGGTACTTCAAGTTCTGGTTTTCCTCCCCGACTGTTACTTTTCCGGGCCCCTAACCCTATGCCATGCGCGATGTGCAAGTTGTACAGCTGCATCCACTGGGAGAGATGGAGCCGAGTGTACTTGCCCAGAATGGGGCTGCTCTTCCTGTGAACTGGTTAAACCCATTCTCCAAGGGTACACGGAATGATGGCAATGAAGGAAGTTTTCTATTTTAGAATCTACCCGCAGGCCCACCCCCGTTACCTGCACTGACCACAAGGCTTATCCCTCCTGCAATGTGTGATGATGGATGGTTTTCTAAGCACCCAGACTTCTCAGAACCCAGAGGTGAGAAGAATGACTGTTACTCTGAGAGGTCCTGGTTTTGCCCTCTTCGGGATTCTCTCTTTAACATCTCACCGCTGACTTGAGATTCCAGAAGGCCGTCCAAGACATTCCAGGTTATAAAAAGCCAAACACCGGCGCTCACCTTTGCTCACCGGCAGCGTTTTTCCTAGGACACTGCCCTCCACAAGCCTGTCCTTTCCTGCCGCTCTGCTGGCCACCCTCAGCCGCTGCCTCAGAGTCCACCCAGGACCCAAACTATCTGCTCAACCTCGTTTCCTGACAATAGTGCCAATTCCTCAAGTTTGTGTACACCATGTTATGTTTAAAAGACTCACAAACTCTGTCCTTGCCCCAGCTGGTGTAGCAAGGTGGTTAGAACATTGGCCTGAGCACCAAAGGGTCAAGGGTTAGATTCCCAGTCAAGGGCACAGGTTCGATCCCCAGCCCAGGTTGGGGCACGTCCTGGAGGCAACCAATCAATGTCTGTCTGTCTGTCTGTCTGTCTCTCCCTCCCTCCCTCCTTCCCTTCTACTCTCTCTAAAAATCAATGGAAAAAATATCCTCGGGTGAGGATTAACAAAAAAACAACATAAACCAACACCAACAAAAAACCTCTGTCCTAAATGTTTGCAGCCATGTGCCCCTCTGATATCCACCTTTAGTGGTCTTTTCTTTTAAAAAAATTAAAAGAACATGCATGGAAAAATTACTGAAAGGAAAAGTACCAAAATGCAAACAGTAGTTATTTGGGGTAGCAAGACTCCAAATTTCTTAATTTGCTAGCATCTTATACATCTTCTACAAGTTAATATAATGAGGAAGTATGTATTGCTAATTTATCTTTTAAAAATCCACTCCCCATATCCCAAAACTTGAGCAATTGGGGGACCATTAAGCCGTGGCCATCTCATGCCAGGCTATAGCAGTAGGACTCGATAACATGGCTTCACCTACACAACTTCACCGGAACATCCAATTTCCCAGCCACTGCTTCTCAAACAAGACTGCACATCGGATTCACCTGCAGAGCTTAAGTATAAACAAAACACCTGTTCAGCTGGAAGGGCATGTGAGAAGAGAAGAACAATTCTAAAGTTTTAGACCTGAAAGCTCGGCACAGAGTGCGGAATCTCGGAAGGAAGGTGGGGGAGTTTTTTTTTCAAAGACCTTGTATGCATATATGCATGGCCCATGGACACAGACAGTGGGGTGGTGAGGGCCTGGGGTGGGGCTGGAGGGGGTCGATGGGGGAAAAGAGAGGACATATGTAATATTTTCACAATAAAGATTTTAAAAATAAAATAAAATGATGCATACTGAACTAAACAAGAAAATACAATAAAAATATTTTTTTTAAAAAGTATTTCAATTCAATACATGTTTTAGACCTGAATAAAAGGGTCAAGTCTGTCATTTACCAAAATGAGGAAAGATGCAAGGGAACAGGTTCAAAAGGGTGGAAAGAAAGTAAATAAAGTTTAGGCCTCTACTTGTTAAACAGGAAATGCCTATACACGTCCACGTGAAGCTGTCCAGTAGGCAGCTGCAGGCCCACATTGGATCAGAGATGCAGTCCCGGCTGGAGACATACGTGGGGGCTGTCAGCGGAGGGGGACATGCGAAGCCTCGAGTCCAGCTGAGAGCTCCCAGAGGGTGACCACAGACAGAGAAGCGCTCAGAGCCAGCACGGCCTGACCCCAGCACGGCAGTATGTGTTGAAGCAAATGAAGGGAGAGGCAGGGCCAGGTTCATTCTCACATGCAGTTTCACTTCCTGTTGTCCAGGGCAGACTTGTCACAGGACAGAAACCAGAACAGCAAACACCCCCAGCACTAGAGACATTCAGCGCTGCTCGGAGCACATGGTGAATATTCACTCTTTAATCTGCACCTCAGAGGCAGGGACTCCTGTTCTCCAAGTTCCAGAGAGGAGGAAGATGGGGTGCAACAAGGTGAAGTAACGTGCCCCAAAGCCATGCAGCCAGGCTGTGGCAGGGCTGGGACACAGCGCTGGTGCCTGGCCCCCACCCGCATTAAGTCACCATGTGATGCTCTAAGTACTACAAGCTGCGAAAGAAGGGAAAGGAGTTCGTCTCCCCAACACCTGCCGGGCTTTAGCTCTGATGGAGCATCATCACCACCCAGGACCACAGTTAGCACGCAGGCCCAGCACGGGGCTCTCTGAGTGTGTGAGCTGACGCCTGCGACAACAGCCAGCGAGAGCCGGGTGCCCAGGAGCCTCCCCACGGGGGCAGGTCCCTGGCTCTGGATCCCTCTCAGGCCGTGCAGCTTGGGGGTGGGGTGGGGTTGAGAGTGGGGTCGGGAGGGATGAGAGATGAGAGGGTGAGAGACACAAAGCACCAGCAAACAACACGGCAGGACTGCATGACTCGCGCAGGTGCAAGCACATCCTTTGTTATTGATGGCTGCAGCCAGACGGCGCTCTTCTCGGCAGTGTTGTGTCACCACAGTTAGCTGACCTGTTCATTTCAGCTCATAAACACCCTTTAGGTCAAAGAACATGCCCACACTCACCTTCAGAAAACGAATGACCAAGACGGCAGAGACATTTAAGCACGATGCAAGTAATATTAAGAATAAATCTATTTAGTACGATAGCTACTTTTTTGAAAGTGTGGATTTCTTTTAAAATATTTTAACTGCTTGGCTACTTAGTCTTCTAAGGAATATTTTGCTGAGTTTTACAAACAAATTCATCATATTTTAATTTTATGCTATTTTAATAAGCCTATACAAGAAGTGATCCAAATTTAAAATACAAACTCCAACACTGATTTATTTTGGGAATCTCCTGGCTCCAGACACCAGCTCTGGGGAATGTTAGGCCACATTCAGAACAAACTTAATTTGATAAGGCATAAAGTAGGTGCACATCCACCATGTGGCCCCGGCCAGACCCCAATGTGTGCACACTGCCTCCCTCACACACCGCCCGCCCGTATCCACCATGTTTCATGCTCAGAGGGGCCAACCTCGGCCACCACTACTGCCACAGCCCTGAGCCAGACACCCCTTTCTCTCACCTGGACTAGCCTAAGAGCCACACTCTTGCCAGGGTGACCACATCATTCTGAGCCTGCAGGCCAGAGCCAGGGACCAGGGTCATCATGCCACATTACATCACCATCACGTCACATCACATCACAGAGGCCCCCTGGACAGCGCCCCCACCTCCTGCTCACGCTGCCCCTTCCCGACAGTCAGCCCTGCTGCTCCTCTGCCTGTGTCTAGATCAGGGGTGGGCAAACTTTTTGACTCGAGAGCCACAATGGGTTCTTAAACTGGACCGGAGGGCCGGAACAAAAGCATGGATGGAGTGTTTGTGTGAACTAATATAAATTCAAAGTAAACATCATTACATAAAAGGGTATGGTCTTTTTTTTTTTTTAGTTTTATTCATTTCAAACGGGCTGGATCCGGCCCGAGGGCCGTAGTTTGCCCACGGCTGGTCTAGATGCTTCTTTGGTACAATGGGGACAATAACAGTATCTTCTTTATAAGGTTGTTGCGCGTTTTAAATGAACTAGAAATCTAAGTGATGACTCACTTAAAGTTAGCAGAAGTAACCACTCAGTACATGATCCATCCCCATTATTATGACTTCTCCATCACACCTTTACACTCAACCCCCTGTACCGCCTGGCCCGCAGGCCCTGCCGCCATCCCCATGCACCTGTACTGCTCTTCCTTCCAAGGCCTCTCCTGAGCACAGGTGTGTGCTGTTTCCCCAACCCCAGTGCAGAGCGAGGGCCTGTACCAGTAGACCCTCGAGTGCTCACAACAATCATCAATGAACACAAAGCAGGCGGGAGGGGTGCGGCTGCTGGGGGCAGTGTCGCAGCTCTGGGCTCACAGCCTAGAAGATGCAGGTGGTGGGTCAGCCCCCCGGCCTGCTGTCCCTGCAGGAGCCCCTCTGTGAAAGGTGAGCATGTGCCTCCAGCTGCCCCGACGGGCCTGACCCCGAAGCCTGGCAGACAGGTGGGCAGCTCCAAGGCCAGCAAGGGGAGGGTTACTACAGCCGGGTGAACAACGCAGCACCGGAAGGATTCAGTCCCAGGAAGCCCAGGGGATCAGAGAGGCCGCTTTACTAGCAAACACAGTCAATACAAATCAACCACAAACACATTTGCAACTATTACCAGGAAAAAGTGACTACATTAAATCAAGTTATAAATATCTAAAGCCCAGCTCTCTCAACTGAGCACTCTGATGTGCCTGTTACAAACTGTCAGAAATGATAAAGTACAGTCACTGACATGCTGAAGACAGGCTTGAGTGTTAGGAACTTGGCATGCAAATTAATACAAAGTTTCCCCGTCCCAAAACCTCCAAAATAGTCACTTTTGCAAGGTTCATAAGTATATGCTGCACAGCACACGTTGTGTGTATCTTGTATACCTTTTGTACTTTCTTTGACTCTTTCTGAGCATTCTCTCGGAGTGGTATTTTTCCAAATAACTTCCATCCCAAGTCATTTTGTTTGTCAAGTCTTGCATTTTGTTTTCTAGTAAGCAAGTTCCTATAGGGAGAGAATAAAAGGTTAGGGAATACCTCGGTGGTTAGAACATCAGGACAGCCGAGTCACTCTAAAGAAAACCAGCAGACTTCCTGTGACAGGTCAATGTGGTGAGCCACTCACTCCAGGTTTTCAGACTTGATTTCCATACAGACATGAAATTATGCAGTAGGTGAAAGACCTTGAACCTCAAGTAAGATTTTTGTCATTCACTGTTAGGTGTACAAATTCTATAATTTAGAGTAAGGAATGTATTACATCATGACACAGGATATCAGAAAAAATGAACTTTGAAGTCAGACCAAAGGGAACGAAAACTCTGGCTCAGCCATTCACTCGCTGTGTGACTCTGGCCTGTATGTTAACCTGTCTGAGCCTCAGTTCCCTTGTTCAACATGGGTCTTTGTAGGAATTAAAATGATAGCTATAGCCCAGCTGGTATGGCTCAGTGGTTGAGGGTTGACCTATGACAGGAGGTTCGATTCCCAGTCGGGTATCTTGCCCGGGTTGCAGGCTCGATCCCCAGTGGGGAGTGTGCAGGAGGCAGCTGGTCAATCCTTCTCTCTCATCACTGATGTTTCTATCTCTCTTCCTCTCTCCCTTCCTCTCTGAAATCAATAAAAATATATCTTTTTTAAAAAGTTAAAGCTACACAATCAGTGCTCAAAGAACAGCTGCTTTAGCCCTGGCCAGTGTTGGTCAGTGGTTAGAGCATCAACCCTAGGACTAAAGGGTCACAGGTTCAATTTCTAGTCAAGGGCACGTACGTGGATTGACAGTTCGAAGCCTGGCCTCGGTTGGAGTGTGAGCAGGAAACAACCAATCGATGTGTCTCTTTTACATGGATATTTCTTTCTTTCTCTCTCTCCCCCTTTCCCTTACACTTTCTCTAAAAAAAAAAAAAATCAATGGAAAAATTCTCAGGTGAGGATTTTAAAAAAAAGAACAGCTGCTTTAGTACTTAACCTTTAGTTTAAGTTATCTATCAGGTAAATCTATATACCTATTCACAGAGTCTCCACATTTCATAGAAAGAAAGCCACCCAGGAGTCTGTCATGAGGTCTCCTCTCCCAATGACACATAAACGCAAGACCCAAGTAACAAAACAAATCCCAAATGGTGGTGCAAAGTAAGCTCTGTTTGGGATGCACCACTTTGGTGTACTCACTACAAACAGGTGGCTTCCAGGCCCACAGCAAAGTATCCGATGCGCAGCGTCTTGTGTGCCAGCAGGTAGGCAAGTGTCAAAGGAAGAAGGGGACGCAGCTAACGGAAACAGCTGCCAGTTTGAAAGGGCTCCCATTGGCTAACAATTTAATCATCAACATAAATAATGAGAACAGGGATTATAATCCACTGAATAAGACAGAAAGGCACGAGCCTACATGGGTACAAATAAACAAACATTAATGCACGGAGGAGGAAGGAGAGCTACAGGACGCCACCTAGCAAGCGCAGAAAGGTGGGTGGAGTTAGAACGGGCCACTGGGTGCTAACCCTTGCAGGTGAAAGCTGGATGAGGACCAGGGTCTTCATACCAGGGTGATCACAAAGGCAAAACCAGTTCTCTCTCCAGTGGAGAAACTTCCTTGAGGAAGTGATCACAGCTGGCATCGCTAACGTCAGGAGCGACAGCACACACCGCCATGTTGTTGGCAGCTACCCAATGCACCAAGGACCCTTCCAGGCCCACCTCGAGCCTGTCACACATACTCAGCCACTGGCCAGCAGCAGCCATCACCCCGGGGCATTCCTCCACTAGGGAGCAGAGCACAGGAGGAGCAGGAGCTTCTGCCTCAAGCTTGAGCCCCCAGCTGGGCCAGCACTCTGCTCTGCAGGAGGGAGGGCGGTGACAGAGAGATCCGAGGGACCGAGGGACCGGCTGGGTTTACAAGAAAGGGAGGCTGAAGGCGGGCGGCCCCGCAGGTGCTGGACCCACCCCCCTCCATCTGTTGACAATGCCTATCCCGATTCCCTGGATAATAATGCTGAAGAGGCCTCAGGTAATACACTGTGCGCTGCCGACGGTTAAGCCACTGCCAACTAACAGACTGAGGGAGGCAGAGAACTTGGGCAGGAAAAAGGAGTCAGGGTTTCACCCCTGCGTGTATCCCAGGGCTTGCAAAATAATTATTTTCATCTCACTAGGTCACAATGCAGAGGAAAAGATAGGAGATGCCCTTGGTTCTGTGCCTCGAGGTGAACACCTTTGAAATGCCTTTTTCAGATTCCCAGGCGCATGACCACCTCAGGGAGCAGAGCACAAACCCTTAAATACCCCGCACCTTGGTTTCTCCCACCTCTAAGTACTCTTCCTTCCATTCCTTTCTTAATTCCAAAAGTATAAAAAAGCTGCAAAACTGTCATTCTACAGGGCATCTGAGCTCTTGCTCCCCAGCATGTAGTCAGTTTGGTTCAAGTAAACTCGTAAAAATTCTCTACAGGTCTGAACGTCCTTATGTTGACACCAATGACAGAGTCATGTAAAAATAGTGCTGGTTTCTGCCTGCCGGCCCCGGGAAGCCAGCAGCTCACGGGCACACTGGGAGTGCATGTCACAAGGAAACAGTGTCATCACAGTTAGGAGCAAGATGGGTCAGTGACACATCTCACGGGGACAACATGGACCATTAGAATTCTGTCCCCACGAAGCTTTCCTCTTCTCAGCCTAGATTTATCCACTTGTTTTTCGGTTTTCATCACCAGAATCTAAGTCCTTAAGGGTGGATATAGCAGGTCCTCGAATCATGACGTCAGTTTGTTACACCGTTGATGAGGTGCTGTAGAAACTTAACTCTTGCAGATGTTATAAAATTGGTTTTTGCCCAGCTGGGGTGACTCGGTGGTTGAGCATTGACCCACAAACCAAGAGGTCACCAGTTTGATTCCTGGTCAGGGCACAGGCCTGGGTTGTAGGCCAGATCTCCATTAGGGGGCGTGCAGGAGGCAGCTGATCAATGTTCCTCCCTCGTTGATGTTTCTATCTCTCTATCCTTCTCCCTTCCCCTCTCTCTAAAATCAGTAAAAACCTATTAAAATAATAATAAATAAAATAAATAGTTTTTGTTATGGGTCATTTCACTGAAAGTCACAGAACCTATCGACACGTTAAGTGAGGACGTACTATATACTGCCTCCTATTCACTGTGGTGACTCCAGTCTAGAACAGTTCCTGGCATGTAGGAAAGCATTCAAAATTATTCCATGCATGCTTTTCAGGGCCTCTTCACAAACATGACACAAGAATGGTTCCTGCCCATTTAAAGTAGAGGAAGCTAGGATCCGAACAGCTCGGGGAGTCCTGGCAGAGAGACAGCTAATGGGCACAGGGCCGAGAGGCAGGGGGACGTGTCCGAGCTGCTACCTGGAAATCTGGAGTCAGCGCCGTCCCAGGGTGCATGAAGCAATCCTCCCCACCCTGCGGAGCAGGTTCCACAAGCCACCAACTCTCAGCAGGGATTTCTCAAAACCTCTCAGTCTTGAGAAATAAAACTCCAAAGTCCTCCTCCTTCAACACTGTGCAAGCGAACTCTGCTGCAATTCAGTGACTGCCTGGGCCTCGTGCTCTCTCCCTCGTTCAGCTCACTAACAGGAGCTGTAGCAAGTTAGCCAGGAGTAACGAGGAACACCCAGCGTTCCGTCCCACGCGCCCCGATGGCTATCTCCTCCACCATTTCCTTCACAGATCACCTATCAGGGACCGCATGTGTGAAACAGCCCCACCAGGAAGGCACAGAGTCGCCATGGTACAGACAGGAAACCGGCTCGGGGAGGTTAAGGACTTCACTCCTGACGGGATATACACACCCTGGCACCCCCTGGGGTAGAGAAGACAGAAATCCTGAGTGATGCTTCCAAAGCCCTTGCATAGCTTTTCCCGCTCTCCACCCCGCAGCAGCGGCAGGCTTCCCTGCCTCAGACCCCACACTGGCCCTCACTCTGCTCTGGACAGGGAAGAGGGAGAGGCCAGCCACTTCAGCCATCTCAGGTGAAAAACAAAACACACTCTGCAGAGCAAGCCTCCCGTGTGACAGAATTCTCCCTGCCCCCGGGGAAAGACCAGTCACTGTGCCCCAAATTCCTAGTTCCACAACTAAAAGCGCTCAGAGCTAGAAACACTTGGAGCCTCTCCTCCTTTAGAAAATGTGACCCCAGTAGTATCTGAGGCTAAAGAGTAGATCCCTAAAAACAGAGGTAGCGGTCAACTCAAGGGAGGGTAGTGAGCACCTGCCGAGAGCTCCTGGCGCACAGCAGACCCTGCTGGAGCTACAGGACACACCCACTTCATCTAAGAAACACGCAAGGAGGCAACTCTGCCCAATGGGCAGCGGGGGCCTACACCTCCACACAGGGAAACAACCCAGCTCCAGTTACGTCTCCAGTTTAAAAACAAGAAAGGCAGCACTGGGACCACAAACCTGTCCATGAGCAGGAGCGCAGAGGAGACGGACATCGCGTCTACTGTGGCCACACGGCTCTGCAAGGCCAGCCGCAGACGGGCGGGCTCTCCCCTCGCCGCATTCCTGGCAGCCGGAGCCAGAGTCCCGGGGAAGCACCATGGACGCCTTCGGAGCCCAGCTCTACAGTCTGGAAGGTTAAGGCACCAGGACAGAGCAGCCGCTGGAAAGGCGGGGGCGGGGCAGGCAGGGCTCTGACTCCTAACTAGTCACAGGGAGGGAGGAGGGAGGAGGGAGGAGGGCGGGCAGTCTGGGAAGCAAAGCATGAGTGACCGGTTCAGGGGACTCAGCACAGCTCCACTCCACATCTCTGCGCCATGCAGAGACCCAGAGCCACACACAGCGCCAGAGAGGCCAACGAGCCACAAAACCCAGGGCACTCCTTTCTGGGAAGCAAGATGAAGTCACATTTGCAACGACTTAGAGCATGTCCTGTGTGTCAGACACTGAGCTTTGTGAAAAAGAGAACAGGTATGCAGGTGAGTCACAGAAAGGGTCATGGAAAGTCCTGACCCAATCCCTGCCTCAGAACCATCACCAAGGGA